CTGCTAGGCAATCGCGTTTAGAATTTTTGAAACATATTTCGCACAAATATTTCAGGCAATTCAAAATTGTTGTGTTTTAAGGATGAGCACTGAAAGTACCTTAGGCGATGAGCTCGAAGAAGGGGAAGTTGTCGATGATGGTGGTTTGCATAATGCTAAAGTTCCCGAGAATTTGGACGGAAGCCAAAATCTTGGAATTTCTGCCGAAGAAACTGCCGACTCTTTTAGTGGCCGTGCAAATCCCGCAGAACTGAGCGCGCGTATACTCCAAAATGGGGGCGGTTCGGAAGACGAGTCAAACGATGGTAATGGTGGTGATGGAAGCAATACCGAAAAAAGTGAGCCGTGTGAGTCGGGAGATGATTACGAGATCTGCGAATCGACAGAGGGGGAATTCTCTGGTGAGGAAGCCATTTTAAAAATTCGAGATTTAATAGGAGAGGATGACGAGAACGTCCATGCCTTTACTCTTAAATTACTCAGTCATATTTCACATAAATAGTTTTCTTCTGACATTGTGGAAGGCCTGACACTGCTGCATTCAGCGTGTGGAAGCATCCCGGAAACATCACCAACATGGAGTCCTCACATTGATATCTACGGTTTTCTTGATGTTTTCGGAAATTTTGTGGTTGGCTTGTGTAGCCTATTAGCTATCTTTGCAATCCGCACTTTACTCCCCATGTTTACCCCTGAATTTTTTTAATGCGTTTTTGCATATACTGCAAATGCGAAACACATATTGGCAAAGAATGTGTGTGTGTGTGTGTTTATGTGTTTATGTGTTCGCAATTTTGTCATCTATTTTCAACTCGAGAACTAGAAAACCCAGAAGGCTGGAACTTCGGGAGTATTTGCCTACCATCTGTGCGACCCTCTCTTTTTAATATCATCATCCGTATACGTCTGGATACCGCGTACGAACGCTTTAGAAATGTGCAAATTTTTTGACGGGGAAGCGATTTCGGGAACCAGACAGGATAGAAAGCCGAAACTTTGCAGGGATATCCCCTGTGCATGTGTGAGCTGACGATTTCAAAATCAGCTCCTTCGTAGATCCCATGTGCGGGCACGTGGGACATTTGGCGGAGGAACTGCTAACTCGGTAAAAAGAAAAGCTGGAAGACTGAAACTTTAATTAGGTGTTTTTCTTCCACGTGAAATTTAAAGGTCTCAAATTCAGTTCCGGGCACGCGTGGTACTCGAAGTTTAACACGAAAATTACTAGCTCGGGAACCAGAAAAACTGGAAGACTGAAATTTTAGGGAAATGTCTCCTTTTTAAGTAAAAATTACAGATTTC